CCGAACGAGGGGGACGGCGAATCGGAGGAGGATGATCAGCAAGAAGATGATGAAGACGACGATGATGATGTCAGATCTGATCCAGAGCCGAAAAAGGACAACCTGAAGAGCATGCAGGGCACCGCCGCGAAGCTCACGGGCAAGGTCTCCCAGGCCATCACGGAGCTCGACAGGTACGTGAAGGGCGGCAAGATCCCCTCGACCAAGCTCGGTCGCACCGTCAAGGACTAGGGTCGAATCTTTTTTCTTGAAACGACGGAGTGGTGATGATTGATTATGGTTCTTGAGATGGGGGCGGGGTAATGAGGGAGGATGAGCAAATGAGAATGACGATGAGAATGGCGGAAGAAGACTGCGTGACATGCACCCCCTAGACCGTTTCACCCCCAAGATGCTTCCATGATGCCCGCCCTTAACGTTTTGGCTCCCAATATGTTTTTGTTTCCCCAGGAAGCTCCCAACGAAACCTGGGATTGCTGTTGGTCCCCAAGAGGCCCCAAAGAAACCGAGGATCGCATCCGCTCTTCGTACCCTTCGGCGGGCCCCCTCTTAATCTTACCATGACGCGGGGTCTTACTCTGGATCATAGCTTGCCCCCCTCGGCTGGCCCGTGCAAACTTTTCTGGGGTGAGGTGATGATGTCGGCATGGTGCCCCCCGATGCCTCGCCCGCAGGACCAGGCGACTGGCCAGCGCACCGACCTGAACAAGACCCTCAAGGCCCTCCAGAAGGCAGCCGTGGGGGAGGACCGCAAGGAGCTCTCAAAATCGATCGCGGCCGCCGAGAGCCAGCTGAAGGACACCCCGAAGTTGCTCGGCGTCTGCAAGTCTGCCGCGGCCAAGTAGGCTTCGGCTGAGCGCGCTTGCCATCGCTCCCTGCTCTGTGCCCTCTCTCTTCCACTCGTCTCAGCTGCCAATGCCCTTCTGCCTAACCCCATCCCTGCCGTGCGAGCGCATGCTGATCTGAGGCCCTTGGGGCACTGGAATGAGGGCGGTCGTTCTCGCTCCACTCCACGTCGATGGCTCTGGGCATTGTTGTATGTTCCGTTCGGCCTGTTGATGTGGCTGACTCGTTGCCAATGCCAGATCCACATCGGAAATCCTGGTCAGAGCGCGCTCCGCGCCAAGGCGCAATCTTTCGGGGTGACAGTAAGCGACGCGGGGAGAGAATCGGTGGGCAACTATGGTACATCGTCGAAATGCGTCCTCCGCAACCTGGTGTGCATACTAAACATATCATGGCGCCGACAGATATGGCATGACGACAATGATGGTACCGACGTCGCACCCCATCGTTTCTGAGCGTAGGCATTTAATCGTCTCAGGCCTTCAACCAAGGCTGTCGCGACAAGGCGGCAGCGCTAGTACCGCCGACGGGGGGCACACCCATCATGCCAGTCATGGTGCGCACATCGAAACAATGCAGCTGTACACATGACAACTATCATTATCCCTGGTGGCTACATTCGGCAGACGTCGAGACGGTGGCCGACATAGTGCATCCTGACAGTGATGATAACGACGACGATTGGAACGACGGGTCCTCGAACGTAGCGATGGAGATGCTGACTGACGACGGTTACGACGACGAAGAATACGACGAGTACTGCAACGTGGGCGATGATGACGACGCGAATCGCTGGTCGTACACCATTCATGAGACTAGTCTCATGAAGTCTCGCAGCGACGATGTGTGATGCCTTCTAGATCGCCAGTGCGTCGACTAGAATGTGTGCGTGTGCTTCGATTCTCGTCACGGGCCCCCTTCGTCAGTCTCTCGCTTCCAGTGGCACGCCGTCGCCCCGCCAATGCAACCGTGCATGCGTTCAGGGTATATCTCCCTTCCCTCGTCTCCATCCGCTGCCTCCCCTCTTGCTTCATCTCCTCAGACCTCCTCTTGCCCTCTCCATCTTTGCTCGTCACTCTGGCCTCCTCCGCTCCTGCCTCCTCCACTCTTGACTCCTCCGCTCCACTCCAGCACAGGCCTCCTCTTGCCTCTTCAACCCTTGCCTCCTCCTGTTGTCTTCCAGTTACTTGTCGCAGGGGCCCTTGCAGCCTCTCGGGTCAGGCCCGTTCTTGAATGAGATTGAGGCTTGCCATCCACATATGACCCGTCGGGACGGCCGTTCTCGCTCTCCAAGGCGTCGCCGCCGCGTAGGGATCCATGAGAGAGTCGCGAGCCCCGAGCGTGATCGCCCGTCCAAGCTCATGGACGTGCTGCTAGAGGAGCTGGGCTTAGGTTTCATGAGTTCCCCCGCCGTCGTGCGAATCGCGAAGGCCGCTGTCGCGGACGGCTTGGATCTGAAAGAGGTGATAACAGCATCTCGCTGCGGCAACGACGGCCTCTACCCTGGCAATTGCTGGAGGGACCTCACGCGTGGCATCAAGAGCATTCTCGGTGACGCCGTGCCATCGCCACACTATGTCAAGGCTCCAGGCGTTCCCCCCTGCATGTGTATAAATACTCACGCCCTCGCGCACGTGTGCTGTATATATATATATATATATATATATATTGATGAAACAAGCACATTCCCAGATGGCCGAAACGCCCCAGCCATGCCCGTGCGAATCATGGAAGTGCGAGTGTACGCATGGGTTGCCGAGTGAGCAAATCCCGAGACGAGCGCTCGTGGCGGTGGCTCTGAACCGTAGCTCGGAGACGCTCGGAGTGGCAGTAGTGGGGGAGAGGGGTGTAGAACACGTGCGGCCAGCCAGGTTCACGTCATGAAGGATGATACGGTCACGCAGGTGATGCACCCCGTCGTGTATCCGCACCAGATGTTGTCCGCGCTGAGCCAGCATTGCCCCGACATCTACGAGAGCGTGGTTGGTTATGATAGAATTGAGGAGTCTTGGTGGATTCAAGCTTAATGTAGTTATGTTAACTGCGACGTCCCCTTGCCCAACGTTAGGCAGGTTTTGGGGGCGCGATGACCTAGCGCGCGACCTGACGTTAGTCCAATTGTTAGGGCAGCGTGGCCTAACACTTGACCTAACGTTAGTCCAGATATTAGGGCATGCTGGCATAACAGTTGACCTAACGTTAGGCCAACTGTTAGGGCATTTTGGCTTAACAGTTGACCTAACGTTAGGCCACCTGTTAGGGAATTTTGGCTTAACCGTTGACCTAACGTTAGGCCAACTGTTAGGGTACACTGGCCTAACATTTGACCTAACGTTAGGCCAAATGTTAGGGCACGCTGGGCACGCTGGCCTAACGCATGGATTAACGCCAGGCCGTGTGTTATGCCACCGTGCCCCAACGCGAAACCTAATATGTGTGGCAACCTCTCCAGGAGTTCTGGAGCGTGCAGCGGATGGACAACCCGAAGTTCGTCGGCCACCCGATGCTCGACATCAACGATTACATAAGGCATAGCTGACGCTTCCCTCCGCCCGAACCCAAGATGGCCCGCTCCTCGGCCGCGGCTTGGTCCTCTCGTTGTTCCGGACGTCCGCGCTTGGCGCGCGGGCGAAGGGGCGAGCGGGAGGAGGGGTGGGGGAGAGAACGGGAGAGAATAAAAATGGCGTGAGTGATACTAATCGGTAAGAGGGGAAGACAAAGGGAATAAGGATGAGGAGGAGGAACATGAGGAGAAGGGCGATGAGGATCATGAGGAGGAGGAGGAGGAGGAGACAGCAGAACGATGAAGGTAAGAAGGATAATCAACTGGGATGGTTGGGCGGGGGCGCCTCGGCCTCTGTTGACTGAGAGGGATCGTGATCCTCCAACTTGTCGGCGGGGGTGGCCCGCTAGCGGAAATCTAGGGCAATCCCGCTCATGATGTGGGGCGATGCCGCTGCCAAGCACACCAAGATGTCTAGCATGTACGTGATCTGTTGGGGCCACAAGATAGGCATTGCGTGAAAGCGGGCGCGGCAGTGCCATGGTAGGGGATGGGGCAGGAGGATAGGTTTCCTGATGGGGTTGGGTAATGATAATGACTCAGGGATATATGTTGTTGATAATAACAATGATGATCACGATGACAATGGCGATGTCCAGGCAGCAAGACGCCGTCAAGATTTTTGCAGACGCCAGTGTTCACGGTGATCCCGAAGTCAGCCTGTGTCAAGACTGCAGATTGTGACACGATCGGCGAATTGTGGCACCACTTCGCTTCCTCCATGAACGCACTATTCTACAATATCCACCCCATGCTCGACACTGCCCTCCGTCCGTGGCCCAAGGATTCGTTCGGCGACAAATTAAAAGGAGCACCCGTGTTGCCTCATGACTCGTTCGGGGTTGTTTGGGACATTCTTGGCGATTTAGACCATCACGCAAACGTCCTCGGGCTCCCGCACTGGAAGAACCCCCAGCCGTGTTGGCTCTGCCACGGGACCCAGGCGCAGTGCATGGACTTTCGCCCGCATGCAGCCTGGAAGAGCACCCTCGTCTCCCCAGAGGAAGCGTTCGCGCTGGATCGCTCCCATCCAGTTTTCAAGGTGCTTCGCGAGCAAGGCGTGTCTGACAAGGACCGCGTTTTTTTTGTTTTTTTTGTGTGTGCGTGTGTGTGCGTGCGTGTTTGCGCATGTCATCAGCACATGAACGCACGGGATATGATAATTCATATTACAGAGGGCGGTGACTAAGAAGATGAGGATTGAGGGTTGTATATTTGTGTTATAGATCTTGATGTGGTGTGGATCTGGGGAGGTGCCTCCTAAACAAGCGCAATCTCCCAGATGGTCGATGTAGGATTCATGCACACAATCGACCTCGGCGTGTTGTTGTACCTGCACGGCGGAGCCATGTGGCTGATGTGCAGGAACAACGAATATATCAATCAACGCACTCAGGAATTGCGTTGCAAGACGCTGTGGCGCATGATTCAGAAAGAGTACAAGGACCGTTTGCACACCCGAACCCTAGAGCACACGCAATACATGGTGAGTATTCATGATAGCTGCATTACCTTGCAATGCACATCGCATCACAACGCAGTAGCACACTATATAATATAACTGGTCAAGCTGTGTTCGCCGTGTCCCCAGGACCAACAGATCGACCGTAAGCTGCCCCAGCTCAAGCTGTCTATGTTTAAGCCGCCATCGACTGTAGACTACCCTTGCCTCAAGGCGAAGGCAGCAGTATCGCGCGCCCTCGTTGGGCCGATGACGGCTGTGTGTGAGAAGGTGCTCGCGGTAGGTTCGCACGTCACGAATGCTTACAGGCTCATGCGGGATTTTTTAAGCCTTTGCCAGAAATCTGATCTGGTCCCCACTCAGAAGAGGGCCGACCTCCTCCAGAAAACGATGGAGCAATTTCTGGCTTCGTACACGTGCGCCGCCCAGAGGCAGGCCAAGAGCAGTCTAGCTGGCTTCAATCTAACGATGAAGTTTCATTTCTCGTCCCACATTGGCGACAATGCCAAGTGGGAGGTTCCAACGTTTAGCACTGAGTACGAATTCGAGGACATGGCAGGCAAAGTTGCGCGCACCTCCAGCACGTGCACAGTGTCGCTCCCTCCAGATAGGGTTGCCCAAAAAGTGATGGCAAAGCTGTTGCTCGTCGCGCGCTTGTCTGTGACCAGGGCTTCCAGGCGTGCTTAGGGGCTCGCCATAGATCTGCGGTGACGGCATACTGGTATAATGATATAGTGATATAGCGGATGGGGAGGAGGGGGCGAGGATTAGCATTAGGGAGGGGGCGAGGATGGATATATGGAGTCGGCATGGCGACAAGAAGGCTGGCCGTCGGCGCGGGCAGGGCGGGCGGCGGCCTGCGCAGATATCTCGTCGCCGAGCTCGGTGTCCAAGTCCAACGCGGGCGGCGGGGGACGGGCCCGCACCATACGTGTCGGAATGCCATTCGGATTCCCGAAATGGCCGCCGCCGCCGCCGTCGTCGTCGTCGCCGCCGCCGTCGTCGTCGTCGACGTCGTCGCCGCCGTCGTCGTCGCGTCGTCGTCGTCGTCGTCGTCGTCGTCGTCGTCGTCGTCGTCGACCCTCTCCGTCGGCAGCCCCCTCGTCGCCACGTCTGGGCGCAGCTCGAATAACTGCGCCTCCCCCTGGGCCCATCTCACTGCCGCCCGACTTGCATGCCAGTGAAATTTTACGAGGTTCGCCTGCCCTCGAGCTGGTAACTTGTTTTCAGTGCGATCTTGCTGGGCCAGTTTTTCGCTTGCTCTCTAGCTGGACCACTGCTCGCTGCTCTCCAGCTCGACTGGGGATCGGTAACTCGGTCCGCTGCGCCCTCGTCCTGAAAGAACGGTTACTCGTACTCTGCGTCATCGTCCTCATAGTTTTTTATTTCGAAGCCAAGGGTTGCATCCTCGTCGCCGCGGCTGAACGGGCCTCGGAGTACTCTGGCACTTGGGCCCCGCGAGGGGCCACGGACGCCCGAATTGGCTGCCGCCGTGGTCGTCGGCGTCGTCCGTCGTCGTCGACCCCCCCGTCTGCGGCTCCGACTGCTCTGGGAACGGGGCGGGGATCCAGGGGGGGGATGGGATGGGGCTCGAGCGGGAGGAGGGGGCGGACTGGGGAGAGGACGGAGGAGGACGATGAAGAGAAAGTCAAGGGGGAAGAGGGGGCGGCAGAGGGGAAGAAAAACGAGGAGGAGGACGCCGATATTCCTAACGCTTCGCGTAACCCCATCAGCCAATCCAGAAACGATTGCGACGATAGCTACGTGGGCAGGCAAGGAGAGAGACACATTCGTAGTTAAACGCCGCGGTGATTAAATTATGGATGTCGTAATCACTGCGGGTCCTCATCCCCCATTTCGCTCCGCCTCCTCCTCCTCCTCCTCCTCCTCCTCCTCCTCCCCCTCCCCCTATCCTACCCCCCCCCCTCCCGATTCCCTCCCCTCATCATCATCTCCCCCCCCATCATCGCTCCTCCCGCCCCCTTCCCCAACCCCGCCTTTCGCGCTCCTCCCGCCCGAGCCCCCGCCGACCTCTCCCCCTCCCCCGAGCGCGGCGCGCATTTTCCGAGGCTGACGCCGTTCCGCCGACCCTTTAGATTTAGGGGATTGTTGTAGATGCTTTTTTTTTTGCGGCCGCGCGCGCGTCCCGCCAATCGGCGGGCGCGCGCGCGGCCCGCCGCTGTCACGCGCTGCGGTGGAGGCGCCTCGGGGTGGTTTATGCCAGAGAGACAATGCCGATCGAGGGGGAGGGCGCTTTGCCCTCCCCCATCACCCTCCCTCTCGCCGCCACTAGGGCGGCTCCATGCTGGCGAGCATATACGCGTACACGAACCCGCGCGTCATCTCCTTCCCGCTCCACGCGCACGAGCGCGCGCGCGCGCCCCTTTTCCACCCCCCCCGCCCTCCCCCATCCTTTCCCCCCTATCCCTTCCCTCCCTTCACTCCCTCACTCCCTTCACTCCCTCCCTCCCTCCCTCCTTCCCTCCCCTTCTCCCTTCCCTCCCTACCGCCTCTCCCCCCGCCCTCCGCCCATCCGCCGCCTTCTCCATTGATATTGGTATTGATATTGATATCGATACCGGTATTGATATTGGTATTGATATTGATACTGATATGGATATTGGTATTGATATGTTGTTGCTGATGTTGATATTGTTATTGGTGTTGATATCAACAATGATATTGATATTACATACCTCTGGGTATTGATACCCGTGCTGATATCATGCGGCCGATATCGTTTTGTACGCGGGGCGCGGAGGGCATTTTTGAGATCTCAAAAATATAGGCCGCTATCATTTTGCAGCCCGCGCAGTGCGGGATATCAAAATATGGGTCTTGATATCACGCAGAGATATTGATATCGCTTAAATTGAGATTTGGATGCTTTGGGCAGGTCGTGCCGGTGCTCGCGGGCGTTAGCCGGCGCGCGGGCGCGGCCTTGCGCGGGGGCTCACGAACCTGCAATTGCTTAACTCAGGAGCACGCGCAGGGCAGTCGCGATCCTTCTCTTCGCGGCAGCTGGAGAATTCTCTGTGTAGTGGAGCGCTGCGAGGATGCCAGCATGTGGCCGGATCTCCGGAGCGCACAAGAGAATCCGCTCGAATGGTGCGCCTGCGCGCCATGCGCGAGTAGCGCCAGCTCTCGGCGGCCACTGTGCTCCAGATTTCGCCCTCTGTGACCCCAGGGGCCACTGCTGGGTGCGAGATGCGAGCGTAGTTTGCGAGATGCGAGCGTCTCAGGCGGCGGCGCAGGTCCACTGTGCCTTGTGCGAGCCGCTCGGTCATCTTCCATGGCCAGACCTGGGCGTCGATGCTGTCTTTGCCTTCGACGCGGGCGCGGGCGTGCATGTCGGCGCACCTCAGGTTCGCGAACTGCTCGAGGATCTGCCGGGTCGTTGGAGAGCAGGCAGGCGGTCTTTCAATGGCCCCGCGACGATCTCGAAACCCAAGTTGGCGGTGGTCGAAGATGACCTTGTGCGCGCCCGGTGGTACCAGCACCTCTGGCCAGAGCGGCTCGTGGCGCTTCCGAAGGGTCGGACTGCTCGTTGGCGACGTAGCCGCCGAGCTGCAGCTGATGCAAAGCTACGTGGCCGCATAACTGGCAGCGCGGGACCGCGTCCTCGTAGGAGCGCAGCCAGGCTTTGCAGTTGCGCCTGCAATTTAACGTCGCCCAACAACCGAACGCCCAGCAGGTGGAAGCCATAATGGCCACCAGGGGGCCGGTTCTGTTGGATGTATCGCTTCACGGCTCTCTGCTGGCTCTCGTCGTTGAGATCGCAGCCCACGACGAGGTCGAAATTGGCGCTCGCCCTGAGGCGGCGGCGGACAGCATATCTGCTGATCGGCGCCTCCCCACCGCATATCACCATGATGTCGGTCGGTCCCGTTGTCAATGGAGGCGAGGTAGGTGAGGAGGTGGTGCGAGGCGAATTCTGAGCACTCGCCAGGTAGCGATCTGATGCCGGGGCCGACAAGCCCTGGAACCACCCAGTTGGCAAACGCGAGGCGAGGTCGCCGCGGACGTCGTCGACGCCCCGCTCATCGGCGTGACCGGGCTCGCCAGTGGCTGGGGGGCCATGAAGATGCGAGGCCGCGCCGTGAGGTCAGCGCCACAGTCGTCGCAGCGGTCCACCACAACGACCTGCCCGCGCGCTTCGGGGGCGCGACCCACCTCTATCTTCGCTTTCTTGCGCGTGCTCTCTGCCGCGGGGTAGGCGCCGACAACGCAGTCGCCCGACGCCTCCTGTGGTCGTCCGCGCTTGTGGTCCTGAATGTGCTGCTCAGGCGTCGCGCGGCATGGCTCGCGGCTCGGCGGCGCGCCTGCGCGCGCCCATGGAATTATAAGATGCGGTCGAGTCCGGCGCGCAAGCTGCCGTCGCGCCTCGTTGAGGGCGCGCCTTCCGCGTTGCGCCCGCGCTGGTTGATGCGCATCTGCGCAGTGGCGCCCGATGCAGGACCTCGCGGCGCATCAAAGCCGTGAGCGCCCTCCTGTCGATGATCGTCCAGTCGTCCTTGTGACTCTCGAGCTTGATGTCGCATCTGCGCAGCTGGTTGCAGATGGGTGCTCCGGTCATCACCGTGCATGCTGGGCCGCTGCGTCTCGCCTCTGGGGCCGCGGGCTCGCGGCGGGCCCGATGCTGGGCCTGGCGGAGCGCGCGCGTCGATGATATGTCGCACTGGTGCTCGCTTCCATTTTTGGCCGCGGCGGCCGAAGATCGCGACCCTGGCGCCAGGGGCCTCGATTCGCGAGGTGGATTTCGCCCGTCCACGCCGCGCGCGAGCCATGGCATGCTGCGGTTTGAGCTGGAGAACGCGCCATCGGCCATCGCCGTCGCAGCTCCTTCGAAGCTGGCGGCGCGTGCGACGCCCCAGCTGTGATCCCGTCGCGCTCGCGCCGCGCGCCGCGCGGGCGCCCTGGCCCCGCTGCCCGCCCTTGCCGGGGCAGGTCGGCTGGGCCAGCCATGCGAGCTGACCCGCGCCCCGCGGGGCTGCTCCGTAGTCTTCGGTGACGCAATTCCCGAGAGACCCCGACGAGGCTGCAGCGACCACTTCTGTCGGGGCGGGGCCGCAGCTGAGGCGCGTCATGCCAGCGCGCCCAAAGCCACCTGATCCACGAGAGAGACGACATGATACGAGATCTCCAGGCTCCGAAACCTCGCTGATGCGTTCCAAGATGAGCTGGGCGATCTGGCGCCCTTGCTCGCCCAAGAACGTCCGCGGACTGGCGCGGCGCTGCGCATGGCCACCCTTGTCTCGCCGCGATCGTCGGGGCCCACATCGCCGCCCACGACGTCGATGCCCACGAGGGCAAGTCCCGAGCGCGGGGCTACCCGCATGTAGTTCGTGACCTTAGGTCGCGAGACGTCCGCGCTGGCGCGCAGGTCGTAGCCTGCTGCCTGAGTGGCGCCCCGCGAGGGTGTTTGTGCATTGGGGCTCGTTCCGGCGGTTCTTGCACGCTGCAAGTAGCGCGAGCTGCTGAGGCGGTATTCCCCCGGATGGCGGCTGGAGCCGGACGATGTTGTCATGCAGAATAATGCATCGACGGCCGCTCGGCGCCGAGTTGAAGTGGACGGTGCTGGGGCTCCAGTTGATCTCGCAGCCGCCAGGTCCTGGGAACGCTGGCGCTTGTAGGCCGCGCCTGTCTTCACAGCCCGTTGTTGGACTGCGTGGATTGCAGACCAAGAG